TTTTTTGTCTGGCAGTGGCAGCAGATATGCGATCAAATTTCTAATTTGAGGCTGTATTACGTCGATTCTGGCACCCAACATCACAACAAGATGATATTTTAAGCTCCTTATGTAGCAGAATCTGCACTGGTTTGAATGGGCCGCCTCCAGTTTCCCCTTTGTTTTGCTGCCTCCAGCTAGCGCAGTGACGTCGCTGACCCTAGTTACCTGTGGTTGGCCTGGCCGTGCGTCACTCAGAAAACAACAGGCCAATCAGAAGAGAGGCTCATGAATATTAATTAGACAGACCAAACAGACCTGTTCTCAGCAGAGCTCCTGAGAGAGGAGCTGTAAAAATATATTGAGATGGCTTTTGGTACTTATACCGCAAATATATATTCTTAAGGACATCAAAACCTCAAATAAAACTCCAGAAAGGTGTACAATATGGGACCTTTAATATATTTTTCCAAAGCTATGTCATGCTTAGGTTTTTATTATTGTTAATAATTTATATTAACCTTCTAATGCTTATACATTATGGTGCGTAGATGTGTCATCTTTATATGTCATTGTGTTGGTTAGCATATTAAAAATGTGGTGTTCATGTGCAAAACACCTTGCAAGGGTCAAATACTTCTGTCTAGAGCATGTTTAAGTAAAACATGCTACATTTAAAAATGCTCCGCTGATGAATGGAAAAGGAAAGCAGAGTCTCAAAAAGCGATTTTAAAGACTGAAATTCTTTTGACATTCAAAGTCATCACACCAGTTTTGTGCAAGTTTACACCAAATAAAAAAGCTTCGCTGTTAACCGTGAAAACATGTTAGGTGCGAATAGGACTTAATTCATGTTCTGCAAATCAGAATAGTTCTTTAACAAATCAGTTTGTTAAATACTCACCCTCAGGCCATCCACTTTCTTTTTTTAGTCATCAGAACAACACCAATGGATCCTCTGCAGTGAATGGGTGCCATCAGAATAAAAGTTCAAATAGCTGATAAAAACGTCTCAGGTTACGTATGTAACCATGGTTCCCTGAGAAGGGAACGAGACACTGCGTCCTCTAGAGGTCGCTATGGGGATCGCCTTCAGCGTGACCGGTGTCTGAAGCATACATCCTGAGACGTTCCCTTCCGAGGGAACTTCGAACTGCATCCTCTAGGAGGTCGCTATGGGGAATGGTATACCCACGCCGCCATGCTGAGGGGAGTGCATGCCAGAAACCACGGCGAGCACTAAGTACCAATTCTACCATAGCCATGGGAGTTGCCCCAAGGACGCCTGACGGCTGTCAGACATTATCCCCTTCGGCCAAGGGCTGGGCTAGGAAGCTCAAGCCTAGGGCAGAGCTCAAGGCTTGGAATCAGAAGACAGAGATTCCTTTAAGGGGATACGGCCAGGTGTCTAAAAACCAAACCAGACTCTGGCCTGCCATCCAGGGGGGCTACCGCCGGTTCTGAATAAATCTGCTCAAAGAACTGACTCGACAGGTCTTTGGTAGCAACACCCTGCTCAGAAATGTATTAACAGAGATACATAAGTTGAGTGGAGCCCAAGGTGAGAACCGGGGCCTAAACCAACTCAGAGACAGGGAATGAGGCTGACAGCTGCGTTTTAGAAAGTGCGCAGAATGCTTAGCGTGCACACTTACCACAATGTGGATGTTAGAAAGTGCACAGAAGCTCAGCGTGTGTACTTACCATAGCATGGATTTAGAAACACCTTTTGGTACTTATACCGCAAATATATATTCTTAAGGACATCAAAACCTCAAATAAAACTCCAGAAAGGTGTACAATATGGGACCTTTAATATATTTTTCCAAAGCTATGTCATGCTTAGGTTTTTATTATTGTTAATAATTTATATTAACCTTCTAATGCTTATACATTATGGTGCGTAGATGTGTCATCTTTATATGTCATTGTGTTGGTTAGCATATTAAAAATGTGGTGTTCATGTGCAAAACACCTTGCAAGGGTCAAATACTTCTGTCTAGAGCATGTTTAAGTAAAACATGCTACATTTAAAAATGCTCCGCTGATGAATGGAAAAGGAAAGCAGAGTCTCAAAAAGCGATTTTAAAGACTGAAATTCTTTTGACATTCAAAGTCATCACACCAGTTTTGTGCAAGTTTACACCAAATAAAAAAGCTTCGCTGTTAACCGTGAAAACATGTTAGGTGCGAATAGGACTTAATTCATGTTCTGCAAATCAGAATAGTTCTTTAACAAATCAGTTTGTTAAATACTCACCCTCAGGCCATCCACTTTCTTTTTTTAGTCATCAGAACAACACCAATGGATCCTCTGCAGTGAATGGGTGCCATCAGAATAAAAGTTCAAATAGCTGATAAAAACGTCTCAGGTTACGTATGTAACCATGGTTCCCTGAGAAGGGAACGAGACACTGCGTCCTCTAGAGGTCGCTATGGGGATCGCCTTCAGCGTGACCGGTGTCTGAAGCATACATCCTGAGACGTTCCCTTCCGAGGGAACTTCGAACTGCATCCTCTAGGAGGTCGCTATGGGGAATGGTATACCCACGCCGCCATGCTGAGGGGAGTGCATGCCAGAAACCACGGCGAGCACTAAGTACCAATTCTACCATAGCCATGGGAGTTGCCCCAAGGACGCCTGACGGCTGTCAGACATTATCCCCTTCGGCCAAGGGCTGGGCTAGGAAGCTCAAGCCTAGGGCAGAGCTCAAGGCTTGGAATCAGAAGACAGAGATTCCTTTAAGGGGATACGGCCAGGTGTCTAAAAACCAAACCAGACTCTGGCCTGCCATCCAGGGGGGCTACCGCCGGTTCTGAATAAATCTGCTCAAAGAACTGACTCGACAGGTCTTTGGTAGCAACACCCTGCTCAGAAATGTATTAACAGAGATACATAAGTTGAGTGGAGCCCAAGGTGAGAACCGGGGCCTAAACCAACTCAGAGACAGGGAATGAGGCTGACAGCTGCGTTTTAGAAAGTGCGCAGAATGCTTAGCGTGCACACTTACCACAATGTGGATGTTAGAAAGTGCACAGAAGCTCAGCGTGTGTACTTACCATAGCATGGATTTAGAAACACCGTTGCTTAAGGGGTAACCGAAGCTGTATTAAACCAGCTAGGAGCCCTACGTGACTGTGGCATGCTCACAGAACAGACTCCAAAGCATCTGCTCACAGATGCCCAGAAGGGAGCGGCGCGCTTGCAAGAGGCCCTTCATGGTGAGGGGAGCACAGCTAGCTCACTTAACAAGCAACCCGCAAGGGAGGCAAGAGATGGCCCAGCCACCTGGCATGACGGCTATCCGGAGCTCAAAAGAGCAGAGGCCCAACTTCAAAAATAGAACGCTCAGATCGAGAGGGGCGTGCTCATATGAAACCCCCAAGGGCACTGCTAAGCTCGACCCACAAGGAGAGCGGCTTAACAAGGAGGCGGAGAGAGGCCTCACAACCTGACTGCTACTCAATGGAGCTCAAACGAGCGGAGGACTCGATGAGAGAAGTCCACAGACGCTCAATCGGGAGCGGCAGGCTCAAAGACAACCCTCCGAGGTGAGGGGAGCACTGCCTGGCGTGACCCAAATAGAGGCAGCTTATCAGGGAGGCAGCAAGCGGCCTAACTACCTGATGTCACTGCCATGGAGCTCAAGAGCGAAGGGTTCAACCCCTAGCAAGGAGAGAGAGGAACACAGCTCGACCAAAGCGATCAATAGCCCAGGGTCCGAGCACCTAACTCTCAAGTCAAGAGGAGGACTCACCCAGTCTGCCCAGGACCGGTGAGCTAAAATGGACCCTCCCGAAGAGAGGGGAGCTCAGCCATGTCCGGGGAGCAGATAGATCGAAATGGGACATCAGAAATCAGAACAGGATCCTGCTAGAAGGGGATCACACATTTCTACAGGGAACAACAGGGTCCCAAGATAGAAGCAACTGACCGAAGAAGCCTAACACTCCATTTGCAACGAAACTGAGTTTTCGGGAGCAGCACTCTCGGCTCTCAAGCTGAGGCAGGCCCTTACAGCACATACTGGGAGCGGCTCATAGCTAACCCTCACAGTGAGGGGAGCACTTCTCAGCTCGACAGAAGGAGGCGCTAGATTAGAAGGGGTAACCCAGCAGGGCCCAATAAGAGACAGTCCACTGGTGCGGCTGGACACCGTCTCATGCTCTCTATCTTGATAGAGAGCGCGGGTCCCATATAACCAGACCCGAAGAAATAGCGGGACCAAATAACCATT